TCTCTTTCTTTGCACTAACGGACTACTGTAGTTTCATTGCATTCTTATAAAAAAATATATTAACTCTCACATTATTTAGTTTTGTTTTCACAGTGTAGCTATTATGCCTAACGCCTGTTTAGTTGTTAACTGCGAAAAGAAAATTGGTGATGTTGGTCGTGGACGCCGAAAAGTTTCTTTTTTCCGTTTGCCCACTGAGCCAGCGCTCCTTCAGAAATGGTGTGATATTTTATGTATTAATGTTACTAATCTTAGTGTTTCTAAATCAGAACGACTGTGCAGCGAACACTTTGCTGCGAATGATTTAAGCTATGGGACGGACGGATGGTTATTGAGTGCTGGGGCACTTCCAGTTTTTGGTGGAAGATCAGGTATTGTGTTTTTTGGCTGCTTTTTAATGTTTTCGAAGATTTTTTTATCTTTTCCAGATGGCTCCGGACGCGTTTCTCGTTCGCAGTCAGAGACATCATTAAATAGCGGAAAAAGCTCGAGTAATAGAACACGAGCTCATTCATCCAATTCGAATATAGCAGATTTGAACCTAGAAGAAGAAATTCAACTATTGAGACGCGAAGTTTTATCTCTTTCAAGTGAAGTCTTGCCTCCGTCGTTAGAAACTTATGAAAACGACAACGAAAGTACCGCGTTATATACCGATTTTCCCAGTTATGATGTGGCAAAGTTAATCTTGGATATTGCTGATCCTGGACACAACGGTAGGTTTGACAGGCTAACTAACTGTAGCGTTCTAAAATGATTTTCATTTTTTCAGCGTGTAATACTTTGGACCGCAAGGTCGATCATTCTCTCGGTTAGAGCGAGTCTCTTTAAATGAAGGCCAACAATTTCTACTGGTTATGATGAAATTGCGTCAAAATTTTTCGTTTCGGGATTTGACGAAGCGTTTGAAAATTAGCCACATGACAGTCTCTAGGTATTTTATATCTAAAAAAAAAACTTAAACTAGCGGTTATCACTAGCCATTTTCATTTAGGTTATTTGACAAGTGGATCAATTTTCTGTATCTCAGATTCTCAATAATGCCTATGTTCTTGACCGCTGACTATGTTCAAAAACATGTACATCCTCAATTTGAAGGTTTCCCTAACTGTACCTTGATCATTGACAGTTTCCCGGTGTATCTTCCACGTCCAAAAATCTGACAGCTCACTCAATTACATACAATGAATATTATGGTGGAAATGTATTGAAAGGTCTTATCGGAGTGGCTCCAGCTGAAGATCTGCCCATTGTATTCATTTCACGTTTATATAGTGGAGCGATATCGGATAAGGAGCTCAGTCTACGTTGTGGTTTGACAAAATTGAATTATCCAAGAGGAACGTGTATTATGGCAGATAAAGGTTTTCACCTGCAGGACTTAGAGAAGGAAAACGAGTGGAAATTTATCATACCGTCATTCTTGGATCCCAGTGGCCAGTATGATGCAACTACAATCGGGAAAAATATGAAAATTTCAAGCGTTAGAATACGAGTTGAGCATGCTATTGGAAGATTGCATATCTATAAAATCTTGTCCACTCCTCTGACCTTCCAGCTTTTCTCTTCTGTAAATCAGATAGTTTTTATTTGTGCATCACAATAAAAAATGCTTAAAGCGGGAATGGACTTTTTAACCCATTGTTTACACGGTAAAATTCTCTCCACACTCAAACCTTTGAACGTGTAGACAACAAAATCGCACCATGGAGAATGAGTGAGGAAAAGTTGTGCTTGGACTTGGTGAAAATAGTCGTGATCCTTTTTTAGTTTCAAAACTCCATCTTTTTTCTCTAGATAAAAATTTCCTAAAGTAGCCGCATCAGACGGTTTTAAAAAACGTGCTGTATACGGACATTTGACTTCAACTATTCCAAAAGCAGTTTTTTCACCATTTTTAAGAATAACCTTCTCGTCGGGCGTTGCGCCCAACCAAAAAAAGACGGGCCGGTGACAAAACCGACCGGAAGAAGTTCAACCTCAAAACCTAAAGAAGTCAGCTGTTTTTTATATTCGGATAATGCATTTTCCTCATTTTCGATGCCGTGCTGAATAGGTCTGGGAGTAAATCCCTGTGGTTTTTCAACGAAAGACGAAAATATATTTTTCAAGAAAGCCTCCGTCGGTTTTCGCACTCGATTTAAAATAGCACCTACTTGCGATGCACTAATACGATAGGAGTGAGCAGCTCTCCATTCCAGATTTCGCCTTTGTGCGACAGTGTTCTCTTCTAAATTTTCACATTCTTCCTTACTCAGTACAACTTCCATACGCCAGTAAACATCTTCATAAGAAATATTCAAATCTTTGAGAGAACGAAGAGGCGAAAAGGGAAACTTTGGATACGGCATATTTTTAGAATAAAAACAATCACCTTGAAAATCAAGTCCATCGAATATAAACTCCTTCTCCGTAAACTCATGTCCATGAAGAGCCAAGGCACTTACAGCGTAAGCCAATTCGAAGTTTGTCTTGACCGTCTCTAGCGGCTGCGCTTCGAGAGCATGATCTAATAAAGTAGCGAATGGCAGATTTAAGTCATTAGTACGTTTCTTGAAGTTTTCCAGTGTTTCCATCGATGGAGGATCAGCTGTCTCCTGAGAGCAGGCCTGGTACAGAGGGCCTTTCGAAACCGACGTCCGTGGAGTGGATGAGTTCGACGACCGTTTAGGAACACTCCAAGCCATTTCTGATGCAGATAGGTTTCCCATGTTTGTAGGTTTCGGAACGCGCCAAGAGGATGCTCCAACCGTAGAAAAGAAGTCTAAGTCTGGCAAATAGTCAAGTTTTCGCAGCTGATATGAAGCCAACCGATACAGAACAGCACAGACATGGCTACAGAAGCTACTTGCTTCTTCCTTCCAGTCGCATTTAGCTCGTACACTTGCAAGCCCTGAAATAGTACAAAAGTAAAACTTAGATATAACTCCCAAAGGTCATAAAAACAAAATTACCTACCAGGAAGACTGATATCCTCGAACGTTATTAAAATTGCACAAACTGAATGTTTAGCCATCGAGTGCTTAACGTTTGAAGTTAAAACAGCTGTGTTTCTTGAGGGCTTGATCGTAATTCGAAGTATATGTCCTTTTTCTGAATGCAAACTGAACGATTTTTCACGTACCATACAGTTCTGCATGTGAGCATCAGCCGAGCCCCCACATATTTCAT